TATAAAATAGAGATTGAAAAAATGGGTCAGCAGAATGAATATTAGTGGAGCATAAGGTTTTCTAAAAATGATTCAGTGCCACCATGTCTAATGGACGTAGTACTGTCAGTCATACAGTATAAAGCTCAGCTAGTTCTTCTAATTTATTAGAAGGCTATATCATAAAACTGGAACTAGAGTGCATTAAACTCAGTTGAGTCAACATTATTGTTGTTAATCACTGACCTCTCAAACACAAAACCAACATTAATAAAATGTTCATTGAATGAATTAAGCATTTGTTGTTGTTTTTTTAGCTGTTACATCATTCGTTCTAAGAAGTAAATGAAACTGGTAAATTGGATTGTAATCATTCGTTCTCCATAAATCTAACTGACTCCCACATTTTCTGAGGATTGTTTAAAAGGTTAGAGAATTAATAGCTCATAAGAGGTCATAATAGCTCATTTCAGAGTGTCTAAGCCATTGCCTCTGTGCTTTTCTCAAGGAAAGTCATTCAATGGGATTCGTAGAGGTCCTAGCATTTTGCCAAGCTAGATTCTTTTGCTTAATTGGAGTTGACAGCTCAGGGCAAATTCAAGGGCTATCACAGTTTTAACTCTGAACCTCCTAATCAGTGCTTGCATGTTGACAATTAGTTTTAAAAACTCCAAGCCTACTTCACTGATAGACTCAGAGACAATTTATTAGCCCCAGATGCGTAAATGAAGTTGTTTGGGGATAGAGACCGTCGTCGATGATCTTTAACAGAAGCGTCAGCCCCCGCTTTCATCAGATAAAATGTGAAGTTAAGATTCCCTTAACCCGATTTTTTAAAATACAAAATTGAACCAAAAGTACAGATCACCACTGTGTGACTCTTTCTTTCAAGCATTACTGATACTCTCATTTGCCTTTTTCATTAGCCTCCCTGGTTTATGAGTTCCCCCTAACCTCTTCTTACTTATCTGTCTGAATGAGGTGATGTTGCAGCAGCTGGTGAAGAAGGAGTATGATCACTTTCACAGCAAATTATCAGAATGTTTAAGGGCCCTCATTTACATACGGATGCTAATCTGTTCTTCACAGAGCATCTTCCACATCATTTTTAATAAACAAACACAGAAACAACTCTTCTGGTGAGGGTAAATTGTAATTGTGAGGCACTGAATCTGACATGCATGCCTAATGAGCTCTCAGAATTAATATCCAATAAATAGTGTTCCTGTACTGTGAAGCTTATACTTCCCTACTGAGTGAACCTTTCAAAAAAGAGCATTGAAAATGTCGTTGATAGAGTGTGCTTTCTTTTCAAGATAATGCTTTTTATTTTTCTTCTAAACTATTATTTCCATTGCTGCCTATTGATATGGCTGACCATGTTTGTTCCAAGGTATTGTTTTGTTTTTTAGGCTCGCAGTATGTCAAATCAATGCTTCTTTATAATTTAAAATAGCAGCTTTAAAAAAGTATTTGATATGATCTGCATCATACTATTATCCTATTTTTATTATTGGTTTTTAAGAACTACTCACTAGCATTAATGCCTCATGGTAATGGTATCTCATAGGAATTGCTCAAATTATATTTCTGTATATGAAAAACAACAATTTGATTGTCTATCAACAAGAAATGGTCTTTCATAACTAAAAAAAAAGCTCTCCGAACACACAATAAGATGTATTTAGATTTTCAAAAGGCTTCTGATGAATATTCTGGACACTACGCATTCAAAGTCTGTGTGTACCTGGATTGAGAACTGGTTAATAGATAGAAAACATGGTTAATGGTGAAATTAGTCAAGTATCTCAATAAACTACAGTGTCATAAGTTACAAAAGCATTGGGACAGAAATTGTTATTTTTATTTTACATTCAAAACTTGTATTTGTGATCACGATAATAATGTGCTAAAAAAAATAAACATTTCACATACACTTAGGTAATTCCATACATGCATTTCATTGTTTTAGAAAAAAGGTATGTGTCCCACTGAGCTCAAAAAACACTTTGTGCAATCATTTGAAATACTTTGCCAAGCATTACAGCAGCCACATTGCATTCTAATCAGGTGTGTGAGTGTTATGACTTGAATTTTCTATTTAACATGTAAACTGCATGCTCAGTTGGATTTAAATCAGCAGATTGACTCGGCCAGCCTAAAACCGTCCACTTTTTTTTTTCTCCTACAGAACTTCTTGATTGCATTGGCTGGGTAATGTCCTGGGACAATGCCATACTGTGTGGTGAAGCACGACCCAATGAAAGCATGGAAGCATTTTCTTCTACAAAAGGAGACAAAAAATGTTTCTGCTGCTGCAAATATTAGTCACATCAATGAAGATAACTGAGCCAGTTCTGTAGGCAGCCACCATGCATGCACAGATCATGACACTACCTCCACCATACTTCACAGACGAGGTTGTGGATTTCGGAACCATTTATAGTGCCTTTTTTTTTTACTTTAACCTTTCAGTTGTGTGGGTAAAATATTTTTCGGTGGGTATAAAGTGTATTACATATGTACAGAAAGCTTTGTTTCAAATCTCTGCTTAATCTTCTTTGTATTTCCAAGATATTTCTGAGGAATGGTTCATTTTCTGAAGACGGGATCTCATTATGAATAGAGCTACAGTACCATGTTACAAAAATGATATTGTTGTTGTTCCAAAATCAATCTGGACAAGAACATTTACAGGCTTAAAGAAATGGCCTACACCCACAGAGTAGAAGAACTAAACATTTTTAGTTTTGAAGAGAGATGACTAAGAAAGGATCTGATCCAAGTAATCCAAATCCTCATTGACAAAGATAACTTGTTGGACATCTTCAGAATCACCATTTTTCAGTGTTAAATTTAAACACAAAACTGAAGACTCAAGATGAAACTATGTGGAAATGCTTTTAAAATTGAGAACAGGAGGCTTTTCCTTATTCAAAGGGACATACAGTAGGAGATGTGAATAAGTTAGCTAAACATCTGTAGAAGCTGGTTTCTTTCAAGAAATAGCTGGACTAGATCCTTGGATCCATTAGCCACAAGCAACGAAATATTCTGGATGGGTCAAATACACTCATCTCTTGTTAAGTTATCTTAAGTTTATGTTATGAGAGCAGTTTTGTCTTCAAATAATTTCTAGGGTCTTGAGCAACTATCCAGCTGTTGCAGGCCACATGACTTCTTGGTGTGTATTATAGTATGCAATTAGGCTTCACTAAACGTGTCAATATAACACCTGCAAGAGTAATTTTAACCTTGTTCTTACTTGTTCAATAGAGATAATGAAAGAAATATGTTCTTACTAGATGTTTTCTTTTCATCCTTAAAATTATTTGTCCTGTAAATCATTACGTTCCTGCAGTGAGTACAGGGAACAGCAGTCTTGTGTTCTCATCTACAGGTATGTGGGGTATGGATGTACAGTACCAGAACAATGCCAAGTCAGTAAGGCACTGCAAAACTTTCAGGGGTGCAGAACAAGTGAAAGGAATAGATCATATTTATATTCTCTCTCTGCTTCTTGGACACATCACAGGATTTGTGACCACAAATCACAGGATAAGGCACCTACAGTATCCTTGTTAAATGTAAAGAGCATATATTTAAAAAAATCATTATATTGACATGATGATTGGCAAATGATACATTTCACTGTACCTTCAACACAAAAATAAAATTTCTCTATTAGAATATAAGACTTTATAAGTAAAAAGTATAGTTAATAAAATGGTTTTGTTTAACTTCTAGTACTTGATAAACATTATCCTAATTTCAAATTGATTTATACTTTCTAAATGATGTCACATTTGTATATAGTCTTCTGTTAGGAAAATCCATCTCTACAGATGCACAATGAAAATGCAGTAGTCTATGGTTCTGCATCAATAGCTCATTAGGCACAGACAAAATCTTATTTGCATTTTAAATAGTGAGCAGATAGGTTTGTTGATTGTTTGAGCAGTATTGGTCTTTGTGATAACAAAATGCTGATCCCAAGCCTTTTGAAAAGGCCAGGTCTTCAGTGTTTGGTATTTTAGTTCTGCTAAAATGGCCAAAATGAGTTAAGAATCTATGTAAACAGCCACTCCAAAACACAATATTTTATTTAATGCATTGAATCAAGGACTGAGAATTGCAAACAGCCAACATTTTCTAACTAGTTCAGGTGGGGAGCTGCGTCAGCATGCGTAGGTTGTAAAGGTTGAAAAGAGAAGAAAGAAAACACAACGTTTTGGCTGTTGAGCTTTCTTTCAGGTGGGAGGCTGATTCATTAATGATATTAATGATAAGAGAGGTCATACCAGTTACAAACGTTGTAACGATGTTTTATGCCATTTTGTTGGACATCTATGTTTAAAATATTGGATTATATCCATTAGATCTGAACTCTGCATTTCTTGTGTGCATCAGTATTTTTGTAGAAATTTCTTTTGAATCAGGAATTCTTCAAAATCTAGACAGGCTTGAGCACCTACAAGATATAAGGCTGAATCTGAGGGAAGATTTACTTCTTATTAGTGCCCACCAGGCAGAGACTGTATCTCTGAAATTAGACAAACATTTCTTGCATTTGGGTATCAGTTTGAGACAGCAGACAGTCCTGTGGGGTTTTTATTGTATAGAAGTAATTATTTACCAAACTAAGTTGCCGTGATTCAACTCAAAGTCATTGTAAATAACTGATATGAAATAGTTTGTAGGTCGAGTATTACAAATCTGTGTTTGTTTGTTAGGCTGCAGTCCACTTTCTTACAATACCAGGGTGTGATGAAGACAAAAAGACCTCTTGAGGTGAGGTCTGTCATCATTTATGCACACACCGCAATTGATATACTGTACACACCTGGCTACACACTTACACCACATACTCCCTCATGTGATGACAGTTTGGACCCTCACCCTTGTTATTTTATTATGATAAAATAGTATTCTATTATTTTACCATAAATAGTTATTTTGTTGTGTGATATGTGATCACATTGTGTTGTCCTCTGTGTTATTTTTTGTCTGCAGTTTTGGAAGTTTAGAAGCTCTGACCCTGCCAAGCATAGTTGGGAAGTTTTCTTTCTCCAGATAGAGGGAGCCGAAGGGAGTGCTCAGAGTTTCATCTTCTGACCCCTGTGATCACGGCCTGCAGCCTGTATTTAGAATCCAGTATGTGTTGGTACCAAATGCACAGACTTTCACTTAGCTGTGTTTTTCTGTTAGCAGAGTATTTAGGTATTGAGCATACAGTAGTTGGTTTGGAAAATTTCCCTTAGCGTTATCGAGTCTCATGGCGTTTGTGATACTACCTGGAGCTACAGTATCGCAGGAGATTTCTCGCACAATGAAACAAAGACACCCTGTAATGAGCTTTCATTCCTGACTCCAGGAGGTGTTTTAAATCGTTTTCTGTATAATTTTTGCATTTATCTTAATACATCTTCCTCTATTTTATTGCAACATCTTACATTTCCCTTCAAACTTTTTTGTTGACAGGAATATCTAACCTGGTATATGTGGAATGCGCTCTTGAAAAGTGCATGTAAAAGCGAATCAGTGTAGAGCGGATCATCTTTCCTTAAGAATTAATGTACAGTACAAGAAGGGTGTTTGGTGTCTTTACTCAGAAATTTAATCTATGCACTCACATGAGAACTAGTGTTGCAGCTGATACTTTCTGTTGTTACTTCAAGCAAAGTATTTAATGCAGTATTAAAGGCTTTGCACCATAAATAACTGTAAGAACTTTTGATTATGCACTGTTCCTTCATATTTATGATATGTTGATTGCATATTTATAAGTGTGGTATAGTAATATACATAGCACAATAGAATTAAAATCAAAGTAAAATGCGGTGTCCACAACACGACATGAAGTAGCTCCATGTGTATGTCAACTACATTGAATTCTTTATGTCTTAAACATCTGAGCAACTAAATGTATCTGTGAAGTACTGAGCAACAGAAATCGAACCTTTACTGTACTTTACGTAGGGATATTACTATACCTCTATATTCTCTGAGCAGACAAATACATACTGTATATTATACAGTACACAGACAAATTATTAATACCTGTCTGCACTACTTATTGACTGACTATATTAATGTTTTGAAACCTTTTTAAGAAACCACATTTTTAAATTGTTCTCTAAATGTACTGCTGAATAGCATCAAAATTGGAAAAATGAGCTCTTTTATCACTTAAGAATTAATCCTCCTCTTTTGCTCACTAAAAAAATTAATCTCCAGTGTTACTCAATTGTCTCCCTCTGTTCAGTGCTGTCCTATTATGAGTAACAACCTGTGCATGACAATGAAAAATGACGCATGCTGTTTGGGTGCATTCAAGCTGTGAAGCCTGGAATATTCAAGGGAGAAAATAAATGGGCAGGTAAGGATACCCTAATGCTCTCATATACACAAAAACTTTAAATGAAAACTTCAAGCACTGCTAAACAGCTGCCTCCAAACTTCAGGGCACTGGGTTTGATTTTGGCTTTAGCTGTCTTTTTGTGTGGTTATCTGCATTTTTCCCTTTCATTTCAAACTTCTAACTAAACGTGCGATTACCCTTTCTAAGAGCCTGAGCAGCTATGCTGCTTCCCCAGTACCAAACCACAACCCAGGATAATAAAATAAAAACAAAACTTCAGACAGATATTGGTTACTTCTAGCTTTTACCTACACTTCTTCCTGCAGCTTTTTGTCTGCAAACTGCTATGTGTCACGATCATCATCCATCCTCTTAAGGACGCTCTGGATCTTTCACATTTTAGTTGATTATGTGCACCTGCCTCCTATCCAGCTCCTCCTTATTTAAGCCAGACGGTCTCACTATTCTGGGCTCAGCATTGGAAGTTGGATGCCTGGAAGCTCGACTTACTAGCTGTTCCAGGAGAGACCTGACGTCACGGGCTTCGCCACAGCGTCCTGACTGTCTGGGTCCGGGGCTCGGACCGCCTGGCCTCGTTAACCCGTTTTTAATTCCCCGTCATGCACCGGATCCCGCTCCGGTTTTTGTCTTGGATGGATCACCCGAGTACCAGTGCACCGTCGTCATGAAATATTCGTTTTTTTTTGTTTAATTTTCACACTACACAATATTGAAACCTTTCCTTTCTTACAAACTGAACAACAGATGTTTGCTTGAGTCCATCTTGACTAGCATTTAGGGTCAGTTTTTCTTGTCTAAGCTGGAAATAAATTTCTGTAACATCTCATAAATGCAATATGGCAATTTCTTCTCTAGCTAGATTGTAAATATATCTCCTTCAGCACTGTAGAACATTCCATATATACAGACAACTGTCTTTAAAAGTTTATATTAAACAAGTGAAGGGTATATTTTCTGTAAGTGTGACTAACTCCGTTTCAATTTCTCAGGCAGAGCTGTGTGATTCTGCTATTTTGCCTTTAGTGGGTGGCTGCAGTGAACTGGAAAATTAGGTTTCTTCAGAAATTTCCCCCAGAAATAAGCTGTGTGCCTTCAGTCCAAAAGAGGTGAAGACAGGACAACCACAGTATTACCAACTAGAAAAAAGGGGAATCTATATTCACCCCACACAGCAATCTTCTATCAAAGAAGACAATCCAACCAGTGTGCTCATGCTTATCAAGTCTTTATATCACATTGCTGAAGGACATTGGAATATACTCAAAAGGTCAGGTGTTCTAAACTACTTTAAAGCAACAAAATACAAAGCATAGGTCTTTCTGCATGTTAAGCAATGATACAACCCTTCTTTCTGCAAACCAACTGAAATTAACTCTTGGGGAGAATATTTTGGGTCTTAAGTGAAGACACACTGTAGCTACGAGCTGTATCAACTTTGTTCTGTTAAATATGATTTAACAAGAGGGAGGGCAGCCCCCATGTCTATTTTTGTGGACCTTGAAGATTAACCATGGAGTGAGCTATGTTTTTGTTCCAGGGGAGAATGCATTTCAGTTTGATAAAGAACGCTTTCTTCTTTATCACATGCAATAGCAGCTTCGGTTCCACATCCATCATGGTGTGTTTAGTTTTTGGCAATCAGACTGAACATGTTTGTTGTTGCGTCTTGCTATTAATTATTAAGAAGTGTAATTTAAGGTACATTTTAACTTTATCATATTGACTGTTTACTGTAAGGCCAATAACTTGTTAAGCTGCAGAAATAATGAATGCTTTATCTACGATAATTGAGAAAGTACTCTGTTTTTTGCATTTTAAGGCAATATTTGAAAAGAGTGGACCACACAGTGAAAATTAATTCCTTATTTTCTAGTGGGACTATGAATTACATGCTAAAAATATACAAATGACCATCGATTTCCTGTACAAAGTATAGCTCTGCATGCAGGGCATGCTTGACAGGCAGTCAGACAGGCAATGTGACCGGGCACAGCACTTCAGGAAGAGAAGCCTGATGTTACTTATCCATATGGAGGAGGGAACAGGTGACTGGTCTCAAACTTTTTTGAGAAACTGCTTTAATCCATTAATTAAACTCTTGCAAACTCCATTAATCACTATTTGTGAAGTCAAAACTGTGATTTCACAGACTTGGAAGTTGGAACTGTTCTTGAAAAAGGATTAATATAATGGTTGCAATGAAAGATCTTTTAGTGTTTCTACTCTAAGACACACCAATGTCAGAGAAAAAAGCAGCTTGGTCAGTCATTTCATACGGATTTAGCAAAACAGTTAAATGTTTTCATTAAAACAAATGTGAGGAAGCTTTGTATTATGATATCATTTTAAAAAAGTATAATAATTCAGCAGTGATTGGGAAGTATTTTCATACATTCGGATACAGTCTTAAGAGGTAGTTGATAATATGACTATAAATGAAGCTGTACTGTACTGTGAATTAAAGAAGGAATCCAAAGCTGAAACAATTATATATGTTATTTGCTCTTTTTAATGTCTATCATAGCATTCATTTCAGTTTACAGCAGTATGTTGTTTCAAAACCCCACAGCATGAAATTAAAAATGACCAGAAGACACAATTGGAAAATCAGAGTTCATACATTTATGAACAAGAATAGAAGGTATAATTCTTTCTACAAAGGGTTGTACTTCTTTGTAACAGAGCTTGCTCCATATTGTTGAAGCTTGAAATACTGCAGCTGGGCGAGATCTTGGAATTAATCAGTGTCTTCCAAACAAATGAGCTTCAGGTGCTGAGTGGTCTCCTCTTGCCTGTAACCTTTTTTATATTTTTATGAAAGTTAGTTTCCCTCAGTCCTCCCTCTTTCTGCTCTCCTCCCTTCTTCTTTGTTGCTCCAGACTATGCGACCCTCTGCCTTTCTCCCTTTCCTGTATTTCAATTCCATCAGGCTTCCTTGAAATTGAATGTACTGACTTCAGAACAAAGAAATGTATTTAATATTGCTTATTCAATTTTTTTGGCTGTTTTTCCTCACATTGCTGCTACCTTTATCAGTTTAACAAGTGGTACTGCATGATACCAGGCATTTCAGGAGAGAACTTGGACAGAAAACAATTGGTCTGCAGATGAAACATGTAACAGCAAAGCCCATTTAATATGACTGAGTCTATTTCTTGAATTCTAATCAGTGATAAAGTTATTTTGCTTGTGTGTTATTAGTCTTAAGAATCAATCAATCTCAATAATCAATGTAGGTATTTATCGGCTCCTTCTATGGCCACATACAGTAAACTGTAATTACCATTATTCCACCACACCAAATATTTTCATGTTTTATGATGATAGTTACTGTTTTTTTAAGTTGTTGTATGCATGTTTTAAGCGAAGTAAAAGTAAGATGAGTTTTGCACTCACTCCTAATTGAAAAAGATGGCTTTATAATTCTTTTTTTTATCTAGAATGTACATGATTTTAGGATTAAAGGGCTATGAAACTTGGATTTCGATAGCATTGAACTGGAATTGGACTGTCCTGTGGGCTTCATACTGGTTTGCTGCCTGTAGTTTGATATGAGTATAACAAAAAGATCCTTAGACACTTTCAGGTTTAGGTTATGGGTTGAAAGGAACTAATTGGTACTTATAAATAATACCTGGTGTTAGCCTCCACTCAGATGTCAGTGTCTTTAGTGGTAGCAGAGAAACAAAGGTAATATTTGGAGTCTCCAGGAGGACACATATATTCTACAAATGTAAACAAAATGACTTTGCACGAACTGTATCAGAATATATTGTTTTGGAAATTATATAGCACTGCCATTCATACATTTTCTGTAAGCCTGTTTGTTTTTTCTGTCCAGAGCCTATGCTGGAAGCATTACATATGATGAACATCTCCCTGGTTGTAATGGCAGTGAATCACAGAGCCATAAAGCAAGAGACCATTTAGAACTGCTCTGTGTATCAATCATAACAAAGACAGAAATATACTTACTGTGGGAAATCACGCACAGCTAAGCATGAGCACTCTGTATTAAATTGTATTTAATAGTCCTTTGTGAGGATAAACTCAATGTCAAAATGTTAATTTTAAGCATAACAAGCACCATTACAATAATCAACAAAATGCACCTGAATTGTTCTCTTTTTACAGTGGTTGTATGAATCTTAAAGTCACATATGAACTCTAATAGCTTTGAAATGGTAAACAAGCCTGTAAATGTAAGAAATGCCTAATGAATTTCATTTCTGCATCTGTTGGTAAGTATCCTTGGGCAATCATAGCTATTAGATCAGGCGTATATTCCTAATTAGTACCACACTGGGCTTCACATTGTAATGTAAATGATCCTTGGATTAAAAGAAGTAAATGTGGGTAGCTCTGTCACTCAAATAGAAACAAATAGTATATACTGTATGCAGGGAATATCATGTAATTGGCTTAAATGTTTCACTCTCAAGGCTAAACGATCAGGTGATACACATTAGACCACAGCTGTACAGCAGACGTCAACAAACAGGAAAAGCCATATTGATAGGTGTGAAGAGCTCATGTATCATGTATTGATTATAGTTTTATTGGCATTTCCTTTGCTTCTCCTACAGTGTTTGCTGTGCCTTTTTTGCATAATTACTTAACTGTGTGTTTTCTATCTCTATCTACTTATCAGATTCATGCTCGCTGATACAGTGCAAATTAGGGACGCTGATGAGCCCATTACACATTACATTACACATCACAGGCCCAGTGGCCTAATGGATAAGGCATCAGCCTCCGGAGCTGGGGAGTGTGGGTTCGAGTCCCACCTGGGTTGATTAATTATGGCACTCTGCAAGAGGAGTGTTCTCAATCATTGACAAACAACCAGACACCAGCAGGGGGAGGTATGATTGCACCATTGGTTTACAGAACAGTCATGAACGTCGTCATTAAAATGCTTCCAAAACAAATTTCTATTTGCCAGCAGCCATATCACCATGCAACTCAAAACTGGCAACCCACTGAAGCTCAGCAGGTGTGAGCCTGGTCAGTACCTGGAAGGGAGACCTCCTGGGAAAAACCAAGGTTGCTGCTGGAAGAGGTGTTAGTGGGGCCAGCAGGTGTTGCTCGTCCTGCAGTTTACACTATACTGTAAACAGGTGCCGTCCTTCGGATGAGACGTAAAACCGAGGTCCTGACTCTCTGTGGTCATTAAAAATCCCACGGCGCTTCTCGAAAAGAGTAGGGGTGTAACCCCGGTGTCCTGGCCAAATTTCCAATTGGCCCTTACCAATCATGGCCTCCTAATAATCCCCCTCTGTGAATTGGCTTCATTAGTCTGCTCTCCTCCCCACTGAGAGCTGATGTGTGGTGAGTAATCTGGCGCACTATGGCTGCTGTTGCATCATCCAGGTGGGGCTGCACATTGGTGGTGGTGGAGGGGAGTCCCCATTAACTGTAAAGCGCTATACCAGAGAAGCGCTATACTGTATAAGTGTAAGCAATTATTATTATTATTATTATTATAACAGATCCCTGTGGTACACCTCTGAAAAACTTTTAAAGCAGAAGAAAACTAATTATTAGATTAGTTTAGATTTCTGATTTAAGTACTCTGTACAGTATACTTAATATGCAACAATTTGCTTATGGGCAATGTATTCAATCGGAGAAATTTCCTCTGTCTGATGTTCGGAGCCAAACAACAGATTTTTGGATTCCCTTTCCTGATTTTTATAAATGTACAAAATAAAAAATGCCATGAATTGAGGAAAAGTCCTGTTTAAAGGTATTTACAGAATATACACTTCATGTTAACACTAAACACTGTTCTTGTTTAATTCATGCTCAAAAACAACTTAGTTATGGTTAAAAAGGAAAACCAGTAATGCACTAAAAGGCTTTTTTGTATTTTCAATTTGAGGAGCTGAACATCCGTCAGTGATTTATGTGGTCTGGAGAGCTCAACTTTTGTTTATTTGCTGCTTTTGACAACATGGAAAAAGTATGAGGGGAAGTACCACACAAAAATGCTACATTATTATGTCATCATTAAATGATATTTTAAGTCCGTTTATGTAACACCACTTTACTGTGTTAGCTGCTCCCCTTATGGAAATCATTCTGACGTGATTGTGGTCATTTTTTTTCTATTAAACTTTGTTTTGAATTTTGGACAAAGATGTACGCTCAGATTCGAAAGATAACGTTCGGTTCTTTATTTTAATATAATAAATGTAGAGATCTCATTCTCTGCCATTTGCAAAGGGAAAACCCCATTTGGCAAAGTAGGTAATTTTG